ATTTGAATGCACTGGGCTACTATTTAGCTCTGGATTCAGCTACTGGAGTTGTCAGTGACATCTTGGGTGGTAATGACGAAGTCCCTATAAATTCATGTGTGCCAACTTGAGATAAAACTTCCTGCTTACAGAAGTCAATGGCCACTGACACAGAGCATTTTGAGCTAATGCTTATTTTGTGTCCCGGGCCTGAGTTTTCTGTGCCATGGCAAGAGCTTAGGAATACATCATCAACCTTCTAGTTCAGCATCAAACACTTCTGCTTGAAAAGCCTGGTTTACAACTGCCCTCTAAACCACATTTAAAACAGGCAATTTCTCCCTCTTCTTCCAAACCTAATGCAAAACCTGTAAAGATGCCAGCAAAAAGTGTGGACCAAGACTGAGAGCCAGGAGCGAATGAAGCCTTAGTGCTCTTTCCTGATGGAATTCTGTGGGGTGAGAGCTCTGCCCCAGACAAGACGAATTCTGTATCTGTGATGAAGCTATTATTTGCATTATGTAAGTCAGTTCCATAACTGTACAAAACACAACCAAAAAACTCTGTGTTGATGTAGAGATTTACATTTCCATCACGGAAGAAACTTGTCTGTAGTTCAAACTCCCACTAAAGGCAATGGAAATTTTACGTTTAAATACTTCTCAAAATGTAATGCATTGCCACCATAGGTGAATCATAGGAGATACTAGCTATACTAGCCATATTTGTCTTAAAAATGAGTGTTACATGTGAAACATTTTTTAAAAAATGTTTTGCTGGGTGTGAAATTCAAAAAGATTGTTGTTCTTGGTGTAACAAAATTTTCTGTTACAACAACATTTTTAGCTACTGGCCTAATAGTAGCCTGGTGAATGATGCTAATATGAGAAAACTAAAAAAAAAAAAATTAAAAAATAAAATAATAAAAATTCTATTTCCTGTAAATCTAAAATTAGAAGTCCTAAAGACTTCAAAATAAAATGCTGTTTGAAAAATACGTCTGTATTTCTCAGACTTCAGAAGGAACAGTAACTCCTAGAAGAGATTTGAGAGGTTGTCTTTCTTCCTTTCAGGAATTTAGCTATAGAGCCAAGACTTGATTGAAAACTTTCAGTGGAGCTTGCCCGAGAGACATTTGCTATTACTTTAACCAAGGCTATCTGCTGGTAGGAAGCTATGAAAAAATTCAAGTGATTCTTAGTTGTATCACTATCTTCTTGCTCAGTGATATGATGAGGACATACAACTCACTTCCCTAAATGAGTTAACGGAACTTGTGGTTTCTTTTCAGCACATACATCACAACTGCTTAGCCAACAGTATAAAGTATTATGTTAAAAAATTTAGAGGAAGAATTTTCAAAACGAACTGAAGTAGATTCTGTGTCTGATTGATTTAACTGTCAGCCAAGAGATCTTTTACTGGAACTCTGATTTCAGAAAAGTTATCCAAACAGAAGAAGAAGGCTCTTGCATACACATTGATGCAGTTATCTTTTACAGATTTGCTGTAGGTTTAACACTTTGCCTGTTGCTTACAAAGGCAAGCACAAGAGACAGGCTTTTACTACAAAGCCAACTAAAGAAAAATAATTCATTCCTAATCAAGCCAAAGTTAGCCCCTAGTATTTTCTGATTTCTGAACTACACCATTAAATGTCTTTTTTGCTGTTAGTTCTGTAGTGACCTTGCATACACCAAGGGCAGCAGAGGTCTCTGTTAGCTTCTTTATTCTGAAGACTGGGATTAAAAAGACATTTTCTATTTCATTCTTTCAAGGTATATGGGCCGCCGGCATAGAGAAATGTAATTAATGAACAAAAACAGGAGAGGACAGGCATAATCAAGTGTCCTGTAAAACCCAGGAGGCTCTGAATTTCTTGCAAAGAATGACATCTATAGCATTGAGGCAGTGTGCCTTACAGTAGCTAGAAGTATGTTGCTTGTAATCTTGCTTGGGCACTCATCCTAAGGAAGAACCTCAGGGTGCTGCAAGGTAAGAGCTGTTGACTGATTCACAATTTACTGAAATATGATCATTATAGTGGTCCCTTGCTGCTCTTGTAGCTTGTTGAAGATGACAAAAACAATCAGTCATTGCTAAACTGAAAATTAAATACATATCCTAGATTCTGACAGCAAAATTAGGGGGAAAGAAGACTGAGGGAGGAAGGGAGGAGGAAAAGAAAGATCAAAAGGCTTACTTTGGAACAGGAAAGTTAATGATTTGGAAACCTTTGGCAGAGTCTTACATACCCTCCTGCTGGCAAATTCACCCAACTCTGTCAACTGTAAGCATTAAAAATATCTGACTTTGTACAGTGCTCTTCTTGCTCCCACACAGCTACTCAGACTTTAAAAAAAAGCACAAAATAGCAATTACCAGAGGATCATCACTGTTCCACTACCAGAAATGTGATCACACTCTCCTTTCTGAATGTTCATGCCTTCCAGACAAAGACAGAGCAGATGCACAAGATAGCATGGTGGATTCAGAAATAAGGGGAAAACACAGCTGCACTGGCTAATTCTGACACTTGCTACCAAATAGCAAGACATATGCTTCTTTGGTGTGGAGATCCTGAGTGGAAGTACAGTGGAAACATGGGACCTGATTCTTTGTTGGAGTGTAAAGTTTGAATTTCGATGGTTTTTTTTCAAGATTAAGGACTGGGTCTCAAAAGCAGTATTGCTATCTGGTAAACATCAATAAGGAAAAAGTTCACTTTAAGGGGTATGGTTTATTGATTGTTTGTTTAGTTTGGTTTTGGTTTTGTTTGTTGTTGTTGTTATTTTTTTAATCTGCAGCAAATGCTACTACTGCCTCAACTTCTTATTTCCAGTCAATAAAAGAATCAGATTTACAAGCCAGTAACCAAAGCATTCCTTCTTTCTACTGGGAAAAGCTTTGAAATCCTGGCTGAATTTCTGCACTTTTCTCAAATTTATTAAGTTTTGCTCAGTTAGAAACAACCATGCCCGGCTCTCAAAAAATGCAAAGATTTTTATTTTACTACGGAATTTAAAGTCTTTGTCTTTTACTGTGTAGTTCATACAGCTACTTTTCCTTTCATCTCAATGTTTCAAGCAGGTGTCTATTGCTGTAGGACAGGAGTCCATAGTTAACAGTAGTAAAGTATCTGGCCAGCATCTGAGATTTTTCCCAAGTGAATGCAGAAGGTACCTAAGACACACCAAACAATACAAAATCACATTACAGCACTTCTAAAAGTGACTACCAAAGTGGGGGCAAAAATACAATGTTAGAAGCACAAATACCATTTACTTTTAATGTAACTTTTGCTCCTAACTTCCTTTGATACTGAAAATCCCATCTCATGCCTTGCTTGTGAAGTGTATGAGGAGGACTGTTGAGGAACAAAGAAATTATTGTCTTCCTCTTAGATTTCATAGCTCTGAAAAGTGCATCAAATTCTTTCAGAAATAGGCTGGAGGGAGAAAAGGGGACAGGGAGAGTGGAGAGAACATTTGGAACTACAGCTTCGCGTCTCATTGAAAGGAACAATTTATCAGAGCTGTGGAGCTGTCAGTCCTTGACATGATAAGGAATAACACCAAATGAGTAATGTTTCCTCCAAACCCAGCTCCTTTAATTACAAGCCGCTTTCTTGCAGAAGAGAGACAGAAGATGCAGAAACACCAATTTCATGCACTTATGCCTGAATAATGTCTCCGTGCTGCCTTTTCCAGATGGCAACCTTTTCACTGGAGGAACTAATGATGTAGGCATATTTAGGGAAAAACCAATAACGGAGTCTTTAACCTTCAACAGCAAAAAGCATGTTGTACAAAATGTTCCTTGGGATACATTTACAAATATCAATTACATTGCTCACTGAGGTGTAATCAGCTGTAATAATCAAAATTAATTTTAAAAAATAATTAAACAGACCCCAGGGCAAATAGTCGATGCTCTTGTAGTATGACATCACAGTCTACGTATGTACCTGGGAAGAACTTGCTCTATCTGTAAGCAGCAAAGTGATTTTAAGAAATGAGAAAAATGCTGTAGCACGCTGAAAAAAAACTTGCAGCTCAGTAAGGTACTATCAGGCACATTACTTGGGATCATAGTCCTCCTGATCAACACACCTGGAAGTGAACCAGACATCACAGGGGATAAAGCTGCAATCTGCTACAGCTTGAGCTAGAGGGTTAAGGCTCCCTAAACTGATGACAGACTCACTGTCTCTTTAGCAGAAGAAGAAAGACCTTAATATGTTCAGCACTGCAATAACTCAAGCTCAGTCCCAAACTCTGAATATTCTGTCAATGCACTGCTGCTCTACTCCATAGCTTGTTACTCTAGACCTAGTACACTTAAACAAGTAACATTTAACATGCTTTTTCTTTGTTTTGTCAACAAATGGCCAGGAAAAGAAATGGCACTCTCAGCCAAGGAGGAGCTTACACAGGGGAAAGATAACACAGCTGCATTACTGGCAATAGGTATGCTGCATGCCCTCCAGATTCATCCCTGTTTTATATAAACACTTTTCTCTTTATCTCTTGAGGATAAACTAAACTTTGGACCTTTAATACTTCACACTGAGTAGAAAGTAAATTAACAGTACTATGGTAATACCTGATCCTTTCTACTAATTTGAGGACTACAAGGTTTACATATGCCATGTAACTCAAAAGCAGCAGTAAAGCCACCATCTCACCGTGCTCTGACCCAAGCAGAGACTTGTGAGTACAAACACACACTGGCTGCTTAGGTTTTCCTTTCAAGTGCAATAGCTAGGCCTCATGCAAACAGTATGCATTAATACGTTGTATGTTAATGCTGCCAACCAAAGTTCTTCAGATCAATGACTATTTGTTAGTGATTATTTCTAGAAACCTGGAAAAGGAACCTTAACTTCAATAGGTATATAGTTTGCAATGGAACATGTCAACAGACACAATCAGAAGCCTCCCAAGTCCAGACAAACTCTCCAGAGCCATATCAAACACAGACTGGCAACAGAGTCAGAAAAAACAAAGAACAGAAGTTACCTCAGATTTACATGTAATTTCCTTTGTATTTCGGCCAGGTATCAACCTAATAGCTGAAGACAGGCTTTCACTCCAGGAGTTGTGCTTGCTCTGCAAGCCTGGCCCTGCTTTATTCTGGAGAAGCTTCTTTTCAGATGCTGTGGGCCAGAACAGAAAAAAAACAGCTTGTAAGACCTGAAGATGAGCCTGTGGGAAGGCAGAGCGATATGCAAGACAACAACATGTCCGTGCCTCCCTCCAGCTGCATTGTCCTTGTACAAATAAGAACAACACTGAATTAACATGTATTTCTCAAGTCTTTATTTAAAAGCCTCATAGAGATTTGCTGTAGATCAATTTCATTATCTAGACGTGAATGTTGAATCCTTACAGCGCTACACACATTGGGATGCTTTTGTTTACTCAAATACCCTCCTGTTTAAATTCTCCTATGGGATACAAACGTGTAAGGCGATTTCTCTTTCTTGTAGTACAGCACGAGCCCTGCAGCATTCCCAGGTGACTGCAGAAGGGCTGGGGCATGGCACAAGAAAGCAATCACAATGCTGGATGACAGAAACAGAATCTGCTTCATCTAGCAAATGATGTGCAGAGTACATAACCAAAGAATCAGTGCCTTATAAGTGCTACATTTACTTCAACATCTTTGCTTACTACAAGAGCATTCCATACAAGAACAGACCTATCAAGTGTTGCCAGGCTTTTGTCATAATTTCTTCCCATAAAGGAGTGATCTCTGTTATCTTCATATCTCTTTCCTTGTCATTTCCTTTTATGGAAAGATCCATCTTGTAAGCTTCCTCCAGAGCCTGCCGCCTCTGAGAAATGAGCTGCTTCCAGACGATTTCTACTGTTCTCAGAATCTCCTGACGAACTAGGAAACAAAAGAAACTACAAATGAAGAATTATTTTTTGTGTAACAAGTCAAACAGCAGATAAAGCAAAACCATCTCATCTGGAACAGCACTGGTCCAGAGTAACTGCAGGAGTCAGTGGAGTTGCTCCATCCTGTCTGCTGCATCCACATGTAATACCAGACTGTTAGGCTACTGGAGAAAACAGCAGGATATTTCTTTTAATATATGTTCAAGTTTCCCAAAAGAAAGAAGTAGGAGTGACAGGTTTCTGCCTTGGAAAACCATCAGAATTTTGATGATCTTACTATCATACATAGAATGCTAAAGCACATAAAGGACATTCCTTTATGTTGCCAAACATCATTAGAAATGATGGGAGGAAGGTAAACAATTAATGAAACAATTTGACACCACAACAGGATACTGTATGAAAAAAGTGCTGAGCTGTTTTGCTGTATTTCCCTGCAAATCAGACTTATTTGGTTGCATCATATCCAAGCCAATATATTAAAAACAAACAAACAAAACACAAACAAGCTGTCCTGGTTCCATGTAAAAAGGGGTTCAGGGCAGGACCCACACGGAACAGAACTACGTACCTGCCTCTCCCCCCCCGAGAGAGAGAGAGAGACACTTTGGGAAAAAAAATGAAGTATATTGTTTAACAAGGAGCAGAAAACAAAAAAGGGAGGTAAGGAAAATAATATATACAAAGATTAGGGGAAAAAATACAAAAAATAAAATATACAAAACCCTCAGAAATGGTTCCAAGGTCCCACAGAGTGAAAAGACAACTTCCCTCTCCGAGCTGCAGGACAGGAGTGAAATTAACACCCACTTCCTGCCTCTTATCAGAGTGTGTGTGGGAAGGGGAGGGAATACAATGGTTTCACCCCCACCTGGGGTCCTCCCAGTTGCTGGAAGGTCATGCCCCCATTCCAAGCCTCAAACCACAACACAAGCCAACGAAAAAAGGCCCTGCATCCTTCTTTAGGGTTCAGTTGTCTGTCTCCACAGTGAATCCAGCCCAAAATTTTTCCAATGTTTCTCTTAAAAGAGCAAAATATTTCTTCTCGTCTACAACACACAGACACGAGCTCTTCACAGGCCTTGAAAAACGAAATAGAAATAGCTCTACAAATATTGAGGTTCTGGAGCATGTTCAAAGAAGGGAAACTAAGCTGGTGAAGGGTCTAGGGCACAAGTCTTATGAGAAGCAGCTGAGGGAACTGGGATAGTTTAACCTGGAGAAAAGGAAGCTCAGAGGAGACCTTATCACTCTCGACAACTCCCTGAAAGGAGGTTGTAATGATGTGGGAGCTGGTCTCTTCTTACAGGTAACAAGTAATAGGACAAGAAGAAATGGCCTCAAGTTGCACCAGGAGAGGTTTAGGTTGGATATCAGGAAAAACTTCTTGATTGGAAGGGTTGTCAAGCAGTGGAACAAGCTGCCCAGGAAGGTGGTGGAGTCACCATCCCTTGAGGTATTTAAAAACCATGTAGATGAGGCTTTTAGAGACATGGTTTAGTGGTGGACTTGATAATGTTAGGTTGATGGCTGGGCTCAATCTTAATAGTCTTTTCCAACTAAAATGATTCTATGAAATAGTATATACCTGGGCACTGATACTGTCCACAAAATGGAGAAGAGATATCCATTACTCCTCAGGATGTAGGGTGTGAAATTTGAATAAAAATGTATGATGCAAACACGTATCATTTTTAGCACAGCTTTCTGTTCTCTATGCTGCACCTTCAGTGCCCATACACAAAAAGGTATTTAAGCAGCACTTGCACAAGCTGCTCTGACAAGCTTTCAGGCCAGGCACTTTCTTGCTCTGTAAGGTAAAGGCAATGTGTGCCATAAATTACCATCATCTGGAGTAGGCAGGTTGCCCTTTTCCTCTTCACTGGGTGCAAGGAAAATCTGGTGATACAAAGCCAGTTTTGGTTTTACATCCATCCCAAAACCTTCTGGATAGCTGTGAACAAACAAACAAAAAAACATGAAAACAAAAAAACTGAGGGTAGTGAAAAAGCTAAAGGTATTGCTATGCATCCATTCCTACTCTATTCATTTAGCAGATCAACACTCCCAGGCTCGAGGGCTTATACCTGTCACATGGTACTGCAGGGTTTAAAGGAGGTGGGACTAGACACTGCCAGTCTGACCTTCAAAGTCAAGGAGCAGTTCTCAAGATCCTATGGATCATTCTGTTGTACCTGTCTTATACCTGCTAATTTCTTAGTGCATTTTTATTTACCATTCATCCTAATTAGCAGGCACACAGAGTAGTATTGGTGTAGCTAGATTGCATTCAGCTTTCTTGCACCTCTTTGCCATCTCTTTGCTCTGAATTTCTTCACTAGAGGGATCTCCCATTATGTTGGAAACACTGTCTTGTCATACCCTACACCTGAACTGCTTATTTAGACAGTCTATGTTCTTTGCACCAATGATTGTTCATTCAGTTTATAAAGTACTCAGCACAAAAGACCTGCACAAACTTTAACACCATGATATCACGTAGATACGATTATAACTGAGAATATCACCTTGGACAAAACCAGTTAGTGTTGCTCTGGGGGTGTGGTGGGGTGTGTCTCAGGTAATTTACCAGTCAGTAGGTAAAAGATACCAAGAATTTCAGGAAATAAGTAATACTGAGAATAAATGCAACAGGTTTAGTCACAGCATCCAGACAACCTGGACTTGGTCACAGAAATGCTGTCAATAATAGATATGCATTACATATAGTTAGTTACATACTATGTTCTTTCAGTTGTAAACAGGCACTTTTACACAGGCAAGTCAAATCTCTTAGATACACAAAGCTGCCATTTTAATTTCTGATTTTCTTTTAAATACAATAATTCTGATTCCCTGGATTTGCTATGTTTGGCTTTTGGATATTCTTCTGAACAACCTTCTGAATTCAACCCGTCTGAAATGTAGTTATTTTTTAAAATGTTTCTGCTCTTGCTATATACAAGCAATCCTCAACCCATCTCAACAGTCTTGGGCTGGAAATTATCTGGCTGGAATAACAACAACTAAGAAAAGATGTTGGGAAACGCAGCTAATTTCTGATGTCACACTGTATTAATGGATTCCATTCAGACCACCTAATCAGCACAGAAAGTTTTCACTGAGAAAACAAACATCATTACAGTGAATAAAGCACTAGCCAATATTTCAATATTTTCCAATATTTGGAAACTCTGCCTTCTTTTCACAAGGCAGAGTTTCCAAAATAAGTCCTCAACATACATTAGTAAGAGTACCTCTGATATATCACCTGTAAGAATAGCAAACAGGGTGGGTATGGATGTTCTAGCCCTATCCAAGTCAATGGCAAAACTCATCTTCATTTGAGGTGACTGACTCAGAACTGCCTGAGCTGCCTCAGGACTGCCTCAGGAGCTACCAGGACTTTGTAGCTCAGATTCAAATAAAATTATCCATAACAGAAAGGTTTACAGGATCCGTGCACAGTTTTATGTATGTTTGAAACGAACCCACACAAGAATAGCTGTTGCATCAGAAAAACCATCTCCCCAAATTAGCTCATGTAGATGTCTCAAAGAATGGCCACCTGTGTGTTTGTGGAAAGAATCTAGCCCACATCCCAGGAAGATTTCCAGATTCTCATTCTAAAGCTGGGCTTGTGAGCCAGCTCCACTGAAATCAGTTCAAGCTTGTTAACTTCAGTCACTACTCCAAAGTGAGTAAGCTGCTGGAAATGCTGGATGAGTAAAACAGATACAACACAGCTGTTTTAGCTAATAAAATGTAGCAATTAAACCTATATGCAAATTTAAGGGTTTGGCTTAGACAAACATGCAAGCTTGTCTGGATGTCTCTGAAATGAAACGCCCTTTTCAGAGCTAAAAAAATTGAATTAAGTGTTACTTTATTACCATCCACTGTGCCTTGCTTATTACACCCACAAATACACATACTAACCTGCTTCTGAGCAAGACAGGTGGTAGGAAAATTTTTGCTCACAAGTATTTAAAGAAAAAAAAATAACCTTCTGATTGAAGAACAGTTTGTCCTTTCCCCTTTCTTGCTGAAAGACAGTCCATTGCCTCCAGAATATTGAGCACATTAGTAACCTTCCTCTCTTTCAAATTAAATTAATTAAATGAGAAGAAATTATATCAAAAGGTTTCTGTTATGCTTGTGGGGGTGGTGGTTGGTTGGTTGTATTTTGGGGGTTTTTTTGGTGTTTGGGTGGTTTGTTCTTTTTGTACTGTTTTAAAGTGCATGGGGAAAATAACCATCTTTCCCCAACTGGCTTTACTCTGCCACTTCAGCGGACACCAAATCATTTGCCCTATTTAAAGTAAAATAATGCTTTAAACTCCTAGAACACTGAACGTAATGGGTCAAATGCTTGCTAGAATACAGTATACGTACTACATCCGAAGTCCTTAGTCTAGCTGAATCCAGCTCAGTCTCAGCATCTAGTTATTCCCAAAAATGGATGTTGCCTAATTTTTATCAAAACTCCCCCTCTGCACCCACTCCCATAGATAACATCACAGAGATGTAAATAAATGTTATACTGAGATCAACTTTTTTACCTGCTCGAATTCAGCTGGCAAAGGCAGTACATTAGGCAGATGACAAAATTATTATTTGAGTTGTAAGTTGCAAAAATAATGTCCCACTGCTCCTGTAGGACATTGAGAGTGTTCAGGACATTAAACTGTTCAGGCAGCAATTGTTGTGGTCTGGACAGGCAGTAAAGGATGGCTCTGTTTAGACAGCTGTACAAGGCACTGAGGAAAACTTCCTTTTGAGAAGTGGAGCTTTCTAAGACCTGTGAAAAGAAAAACAGGAGAGTATTTGGCTTGCTCAAAGAACTCTCCCCAACGATCCACTCCTCTCGCTTCATTTAAACTGTTGTAAGCTTATTTCAGTAAAATTCCCCTGAACTACCTGTTAGACACAAATTCATTTTTTCTGTATTTCTGCTGAAGTTCCTGTAATAGCAGAATAAATTTATTTATTCCTGCTCAGCAACACACACATAGCCAACAGAAAGTGGCACAAAAGAGCTACACTATCCCTTCTTTACATTGCACTATCTAGCTCTGACTGTCATTTAGAGCCATTATGTGTTCAAGCAAAAAAACAGGGATAATCACAAACACCACATGGATTACAGCCATCTTCTTGAGAACTGCAGTATCACAGCCTCAGTGTGAAATAGCACACTGCAGTATGTTGTTAACAGTTGGAAAAAAATTTCATGCGACTCACCCACATAATCTGTTTGGCAGTGAAGATCAGGATTTGTCTGGGGTCAGCAGCAAACATTCGGCTGATCAGCTTTTCAACAAGTTTCTGAGCAAAATAAGCAATATTCATCATGGATACAGGTGCAGTTGATTCTGAAGTGCCGTGAGGATCACTGCTCCCTGGAGAGGATACAAGAGGGTTGATTAGTTCAAAACAAGCTGAAATAAAAAAAAAAATAAAAAAAAATAAAAATCATGTGAGGTGAGGTTCCAAGAGCTGAGAAGGAACAGTCTCATGCCATAATGTCTCAAAGTTGGGACTTGTCTAACAAAACTCTAGGTCTAGCAGAAATACTTAGACTGGAAATGACGGCTCCATCCTAAGGACAGAACCAATGTCACTGAGCTTCTATCATCAAGGTCGAGGTCCAGCTAATGACTCAGGAAAGAG